ATCATTAATTTAATGCTCTTAAAATCTTTATGGACCACCACAAGGGCCAAGATATTTGCTTGCAGCCTTGCATATGTCAGCTTGTAAATTCGAAACTCATAAGCACTTGCATGAAGCATCTTGTTTACTAATTTGTTCTTTTATTTTAATTTGCAGGATGAGCTTTGATGGGTTTTACTGGTGCAACCCTTACCCTCCCTGGTTTAGCTTCGGCTATCATGGGCAGCAACTACATTGTTTAATCAACAGCATTTACCTTAAAGCTATATGTCTTCTTGTCCTGATTGTTGTACAACTTCCAGTTTTGAATGTTTGTAGGAATTTTCCAATTTCACAATAATACACAAGAACTTCCTCCAGAATCTGAATGTGATTTGCTCAGAAGAGCCTTTTTTTGGTATATGGGTCAGGTTGCGCACATATTAATGGATGGGCTTAGGAATCAAAAGAAGTTTAGGCCTGTTAAGTTTGCAAGTCAGGCTCTGTAGAGGAGTTGCAAATTAGGGCCTCAATTGAACAATCCTCTTATTATTCATGTGAACTAGGCATAACTTCTAAAGCCTTTTTATTAACTAAAGAAAATTGAATTTGGGTTGAGTAAAATTTAATAGGTTGTGTGGTTGAAGGGAGGGCAGGGGGAGTGAGGGGGAGAGAGAAATTTTCTTATCTGGAAAATAAAAACTGAAAGAAGGGGAGGCGATTTTCTTATTCTGCTTTAATTTTCTTTTTTTTCTTCTTTTTTTTTTTTGTATTTTAGTGTATCTAAATGAGAGAAAAAGTGAAGGGGAGGGAAATGGAAGGATATTATTTTCCCTCTCCTCTCCTTCATTCCTCTCAAACAAAACAGATGATATGAGTTTTTGTCTCTATCACAAGTGGAAGTCACATATTTTATTGGCTTTTAAAGAGATACTTTGGAATAAAGAATTCATAAGAAATCACTTTTAAACTTAAAAAAAAAAAAAAAAAAAAAGCCCCTAATCACCAAGTGGCAAGCGCTGAGCTAAGTTGGTAATCACTTATTCTCTACACTAAAAAGTTAGTACTTTCCTTACAATAGAGAATTCATAAGAAATTAATTTTAAATATGAAGAAAAAAAAACCCTGATCACCAAGCACCAAGCACTAAGTAAATTTGGCAATCATTTTTACCACCAATAATAAAATTTAGTTCTTTCATCGTAAAAAATAACAATAAAATTTAGTAAAATACATTACATGTGCCATAGTAGGTTTTTTTTTTTTAGTAGTTAAGGATTGAGAATGTCTTTTAAGTCATATGTATTTCAAAATCAATTCCTCTTTAATTTGATTAAAAACAAGTTATTTATATTAAGATTGAAGAATTCATGAGAAATTATTTTTTCATTTACATCCTAAACAATCAAACTCCTTTTGTTCAAAAATGAAAATAAACATGACAAGAGTTATTCACTCTTAGTGAACATTATTTTGCACCATAGGCATTCAAATAGCCACCAAGTTGCTTTTTAAAATAGCAGGCTCTAAATTAACCCTTGCTCTAGTTTTTAATTCTAATTATGAAAATTTGAAATGCTTATTAAAACGCTGAAAGAACTACCCAAAAAGTTGATTTTTGTCCTTTTTTTTTTTTTATAACGAAAAGTTGGTTTTTGTTAAGAGGGGAAATCTTGTTATTTTTACGGAGGGAGAGGTAAAGTGTTATCCATAACGTTAGAATTTTTCACTTAGGGGTGTTTACTACTCACTAAAAACTGGCAGTTGTTAATTGCTTCTAAATATGGAGTTTAGAAAAGTTAAACTTAGAAGCACTCTTAGAGAAATATGTCTTT